GCGAAATTCGACGCTAGTACTCAGAACCTAAGGAAATAAAGATAGCGCAAGTTTCGTCGCATTTAATCGAAAGTAAGTAACCCCTAGGGACCCAAGATTCAGCCTAACTAACGGTTCACGAGTGCTCTACACTAGAAACTAATGGTGCGCGATATTCGGAGCGGGTGCTCGGCATGACGAGTGGCCGTGAAAACTGGTGTGTTCGGTTGCAGCCGATTCCTGTGATCTACAGAATAATGATGAACGGCTGCATTGTTGGAAAAGGACTCTCAGACAGTTTATTTCCGCGTATTACCTCACTCGGGTCTAGTGAACTTTGCGTGTGAAAGAATATGCATTTTATTTATATTTGTTCATGATTTGTTTGCTAGCAATTAATCTTAGCCAAAGCAAACCTACAGTGGAGGACGTTTCTACCTGCCAGATGAAGTAAAACTACTCGAAAAATTGCTAAATCCATTAACAAAATTGTATTTTTATTTTGAACATTACTGAAAAATGAACTGCATCATAGTTATTTCAAAGTATGGCATTTCATTAGAGTGATGTGTTTTAAGATAAAATACTAATTTCATAAAATTTCAATAATAGACGGCGACATTGAACATTCAATATTTAATTGAACCTACGCGCGACGAATACTGAACTCGGGCATACAATGTATGGCTCAGCAATAATTGCGTACGCATCGCTGCTTTATAACTGCAGGTAGCAAGGCAAGCCTGTACGCTGCGTTCAGTAAATACCAGTACTTCCTCGAGTGTAAGTAATCGGTAAAATTATATTAGGATTTTCATGAGCATTATTTTCCTTCAATTTTTGACTCACCAAAAACAGTAAACTAAAAATGATTATTCCTCTCTATACTTGTAGAGCGCTTTTCGAAACTTCACTGCAATTGAATGAATTCCCCGTAACATAAGCGATCATGAACCAATGTTATTTCGTGTTATAATTTTTCTTTCATCTAAGCAATTAAATCTGTAAATCCATCACAACGAAGTTATGCCTCATATATTTGAAGAGAGACGGTCATTGCGCTTCTTCAATTGCAGTCTGCGTTCACCATGCTTTCATGACTTATATTTATAGCTATTTATCATTCCCTTATCATTCATTACATTTTTAATACTTTCCATAACTTCCTTACTAATATCTTAATATATTATATTATAATTTATTATAGTTATATGTATAACTTCATGTATTTTTAAATGAGAACCTCAATTACTGATTATTTATGACTTCTTTAAATTTTATTATAATATTTCTATATATTATAATATATTTTAAATTATATAAGCTGATAATTTACTTACTGCCACAGCCAATTCGACAGTCTTTTTGCCCATCTCGTACTTTATTTAAGCGCGTGAGCCACACACTTGACAAGACCAGCAAATCTTGCATTAAAGAGAGCAGAGTTCATGAAGATTATGTCACCTGAGCACATATTATGTGAGTGCTCCTATCCTTTGTCCTGCGGCTAATGAAGACAATAAAAAATGAGCTCATTTCCTCGTCGACGAAAACGTGAAATCACGGACGGACGGACAGACAGACAGACGGACAGACAGGCAGACAGACGGACATGGCGAGCACAATAGTGTATTTTTCATAAATGATAAAATGTTCTAAAAAGCATGAAAACTGTACATCATAAAATTTTCCATCTGTCCGATAGGCGAGAAAAAATAGACTTATTTACTAATTATTATGAATGCATTAGCGCAACTATCCATTTATGAATGACGTAAAAATACATATATTCTTATTGGTGAGACTCAAAACTATAAATTAAAGGCTTAACGAAAAGGAAAGGATTAGGACGCGGCGGTTACATAACAATGGAGCGGCAGCAACCGTTGTTTACAACTCATGCTCATTTTACGATATAATATATCGCATAATAAATCACATTAAATAACGGCTCAGAAATTTTATACGTTGGAATTGGCTGTGATTATTAGTTTAAAATAGATTCATAGTTATTTGATCATGCGAACAAATTGAATCTTCCCGTAAAGTTAATAAAAGATTTAAAGTATAATATCCGTGCAGTGTTCACACTTCATTTTACGTTTATGTTCATGCAGCAAGCATATGTAATTGAACTTCCATGTATTGTTGACAGAGGAAGTTTTCAAGCCAGCTTGATTGAAGTTAATTTAGGTAGAGGATGCGTGAGATAGCAAGAATAGATGTGTGGCTCTAGCTGCTGGGCTCTGGGATTTCGGGAGAGGATGTGCGGATTTTATTAAACTTATTAAACTGATTATTAACTGATTAACTTTATTATTTATTAAACTGATGAGCCTTGTCACAGCCTATTGCACTTGCAAATCATGAATTAATTAATAGAAGATCTCGTTGACATTGTTGTTAGGCATACAACCAGAATTCCGCTTTTTTCATTTTCATTTGAATTTAAGTATCTATTTGAACCTCCGTCATTTTCCGTAATTGGGAAATCACAACACTACGAATAATTTCATGATAATGATAGTTATAATGATGATTATTGCACTAACTGTTACAGTTACTGCACCAGCGTGTTACAGTTACTGCTCCAGCGTGTTACAGTTACTGCAGCAGCGTGTCACAGTTACTGCTCCAGCGTGTTACAGTTACTGCACCAGCGTGTTACAGTTACTGCACCAGCGTGTCACAGTTACTGCTCCAGCGTGTTACAGTTACTGCACCAGCGTGTTACAGTTACTGCACCAGCGTGTTACAGTTACTGCACCAGCGTGTTGCAGTTACTGCACCAGCATGTTGCAGTTACTGCACCAGTGTGTTACAGTTACTGCACCAGCGTGTTGCAGTTACTGCACCAGCGTGTTACAGTTACTGCACCAGCGTGTTGCAATTACTTCACCAGCGTGTTGCAGTTACTGCTCAAGCGTGTTACAGTTACTGCACCAGCGTGTTACAGTTACTGCAGCAGCGTGTTACAGTTACTGCACCAGGGTGTCACAGTTACTGCACCAGCGTGTTACAGTTACTGCTCCAGCGTGTCACAGTTACTGCACCAGCGTGTTACAGTTACTGTGGCAACGTGTAACAGTGTTTCACAGTTCACACAAGCAACCAACTCTCAACGCTGAGGTATTTCACGCCATCGCACCGCGGCTCTTAGCCACAGCTTGGGCGTCATTAGTGGCCCTGCCAAATCTGCTGCTGCTCCCAGCAATATAAAAAATCCGATTCACTCTGCGTACTCTTGAATAAAAGAAAATGCTCCCTGCAGTGATAATGCTAGGTTACATAGATATTTTATAAATAGAAGTTTTAAAGAAGAGAAGAAGACGCCCTTTGAAGTTTGGCGTCGACGCCACATTATGTAAGGCCAGTCTTTCTCGCAGCACCTGCTGCAGTGAATCTTGTCTTAAACTTAGACTTATAACGTTTTATTGTGAGCGAATCTTTGTAGAAGCCGAGCGTTAAATGCTTATGATGTATGTTATATGAAACGCAAACCATCTCAATTGGTTCCATTATATATGGTGTTTAATGTGGAGGTTCGAATGTGCTGGTAAACCAGACCCCAATCATAAATTTTATCAGTATTGAGCACTGGTTAACATAATTCGCCAAGCACCAAATTTCACTGAAATTGGCTTAACAAACTTCATTCGAAATTGCCAAGCCTTTTTTCGACACACCAATAGCGGTTTCAGCTTTTATTAGGCCGTAGACCTGTCACCGATTCTTAACATCGCAGAACATCCACAGCTTGTTGCGGTCTCGAACTCACAACTCACTTATTCAAATTCTGCTGTGCTTAACCGCCCGGCCTCCTCGCCGATTCTGACCAGAAACTGGCGCACAGAGCTGGGATCGAACCCGCGCCTCTCTTCTCCAATCCTAGTACTCTGAACTGTAACCACTGGGCCACCCTGCCCCAGTTGTTGGGTTGGGGTTGGTGGCCCAGTTGGGCCACCAACCGGAGTTGTTTCATCAACTCTATAACGAAGCTGAATCCCAAACCATGAGATAGAACTGGCTTTGCTTGCATTAGCCGGAAACGGTTATGTAAACATTTTATCTGAACTGGTTCATCAAACATATATTTCACTGTTCATCAAACATTATGTCACCAGTTCCGGTTCACCCAACATCATACCACCAGTTCCGGTTCACCAAACATTATACCACCAGTTCCGGTTCACCAATTTTACAACCAGTTCCGGTTAACCAAACATTATACCACAAGATCCGGTTCACCAAACATTATACCTCCAGTTTCGGTTCACCAACATTATACCACCAGTTCTGTTTCACCAAACATTATACCACCAGTTCCGGTTCACCAATTTTACTTATTACTTGGTTAACCAGTTCCGGTTAACCAAACATTATCCCACCAATTCCGGTTCACCAAACATTATACCACCAGTTTCGGTTAACCAAACATTATATCACCAGTTCCGGTTCACCTAACATTATACCACCAGTTTCGGTTAACCAAACATTATACCACCAGTTTCGGTTCATCAAACATTATACCACCAGTTCCGGTTCACCAAACATTATACCACCAGTTCCGGTTAACCAAACATAATAAAACATTATACCACCAGTTCCGGTTCATTGACAGTACCGTCAATGATAATTGAGTCGTCACGCCTCTGAATTCAATCCACAATTGACAGTACCGTCAATGATAATTGAGTCGTCACGCCTCTGAATTCAATCCACATGTGACAGTACCGCCAATGATAATTGAGTAGTCACGCCTCTGAATTTAATCCACAAGTGACAGTACCGTCAATGATAATTGAGTCATCACGCCTCTGAATTTAATCCACAATTAACAATACCGTCAATGATAATTGAGATTAAATCCACAAGCGACATTGCCGGCATAGGTAATTGAGTCGTCACGCCGCTGAATTCAATCCATAATGTGACAGTACCGTCAATGATTACTCGCTTTCAGATATAAATGGAAATGAAATATTATAGTTTTAACTCAACTTTTACCATTTTGTTGGCAGGCGTGGTGACGCAGGAAGGTCGTCGTGGCGACGTCGAGTCTCGTCTCCTCCAGGACGTGTTCGGTAACGTGACGGAGGAGGCCGGTCGTCTGATGCCGCTGCTCAGGGAGGTGCCTCAGCGCGACCCTCTGGCGGCCGCGGCTGCTGGTATGTAATGGTAATAGAGATATTAATAGTTGATAGTAACTATTATATAGTAATTGTTGAATAGGCCAAATTTGAACTGCCGCTGATTTTTGATCAAGCAGAATTCTCACTGTTTGCCGTGGTTTCGCGCCCTAAACTCACTGCTTCAATCATTGCTGGTAGCTATTATTAACCTCCCGGTCGCCGATTTGGACCAGAACTGTCATATATATAGTAAGCTGGGTATCAAACCCGCAACTCAGTGCTCAAATCTTGGTACTCTGAACAGTTACTATGGGGACATCTTGTCATTACACCCAACATGAACACAACCAAATAGTTTTGATTATTGCGATATAATTCGAGGCGACATTATTGAATTCTCTGAGGAGAAAGTTCACACTTCGGTTTCTAATTCTGAATATTTATAGACAAAATACGTATTATTGAACGCTAGATAAATATTTAATGTTACAACTAATCTCACATAATATATCTTTTAATTTTGAATATTATCAGATTTAATGGAGGTTCAGATACTTCGTGACCTGCATCGGGACTGAACGGATGAAACAAAAAATAACTTATAACCATCATTCCACATTGAATATCAAAGCTAATGACTTCATACCCAGATTCATACCCAGGCCAACTATGACCCTGGCCAATTCCGTTTCTTCCATGTTCTTTCTCTTCCATTGTAATAATAAAATGTCTTGATATAAACGAAGATTTTTCTCCGGTTTAGTCACTAACCTCTGTATCTAGCATGGGACGGGTATTTGGCAAAGTTCTTAATAAAATCCTCACATTAACAACCATCATCCACTAATTTACTTGGAACAAAAATGTCCGACTCTATGAGTATATTATCTCTAATATAAAAAACTCAATGTATTGTTCGGAGTCCATCTGTATTAAAATCATATTATCTACTTATTATATGTTATATATGATAATAAAATCTAAAACATTATTACGCAATAATATTCCCTCAGTGTGTTCACTGGCGGACGAAGGTGTGGCCGCCGTAGTAGATGGCGGTCACAGCTGCAGCGTCGGCCGAGTGTACGGCGTACCGTGCATCAGCCTCCGCGGCGCGTCTGGCAAGACCGCCCACGACACCGACGCCCTCACCCTGCACATGGAACCTGACAAGAACCTAATGTCCAGAGTTAGTTATTCTTGATAATATTTTCTTTCTATGTTGCATTGTACTCATGGTTCTAGTTATTCACTGATCCAGATAACATACTATTAAAAAGTAAACTTTTATGACCTTATTTAAGTCGACGCGAATCATCCGAAAAGTATTAAAGAACTATAATTATTTTCTGTTAGTGAAAGACTATAATATAATAATGAGTATGGTAAGAGAATCACATATTGATATTGTTATGACATGGTTATTATAAACTATGATGTAAAATATTAGACCCTGTTGCCCACGCATGCAAATTCGTCCTTGGCATTGTCATGATTTCCAACACAATAACGCAAAAACATAGTCGAACAAATGAAAAGTTACTTAACGACCATGCACTTGCCCCTACTCAGGCCCTGGTAGACTTTCTTCAAGAGCTGCGGTGGTTCAGTCTCTCCGTAGTGTATGACTCCGTTGAGCATCTCACTTTAGTGGAACCTCTGCTCGGGCTCCCAGGCTTCAGAGTAAACGTTGTCAAGATGGACGCTCAGCCCAACTACGAGTAAGTAGAACAAGTATAGTCGTTCTGTAAACATATTTTCTGAAGTAAGATAAACACATAAAGTTGCTCTCTAGGCATGTTCATTTTTCAAATAACATTCCTAGTAAACTCGCAGGTTATGCTGAGTTTCTTGGGGTAGATAATTTGTTCTTTATCTCACTCAAGATTCGACTCAATATCATATGCATAGAAAACAGAGTAAAAGAATAAGCCGATGCAACTTTAAAATGGAGTTCAAATTTGTGAGCCGTACATGTCATGATTATTTTTATTTTGTGTACTTATCTCCGGCTACGTATCGAAATTCATGATCAATCGACGTATCGAAATTCAGGCCTGGACTATGTTGATATTAATATGTTGATATTTAACCGAATTTTGCGAACAGAAAAACTGAACATTTCCAACCCAAACTGCAGACAAACTCACGGCAGATTTTATCTTTATATTTTTCTTGCCATCATAACAATTGCCTATTCGTTCAATTAATAACTACAATTTTTAAAAGCATGAATTTGACGTAGACTCGATCAAACTCTCATTTGTCTGAGAAACAATTCATACCTACACTCTTTTCCGCTTTTTCGGCCTGAACCTCTTTCTGGAACACCAAATTAAGAAAAAGATTCTTTCACGGAAATATTAACATAATAATTAGATAATAACTGTCAATTGGCGCAACGAAATGGTTGACCACGTCACCACGCAGAGACGTGATGACGCAGTTGGAACAGGCGCGAAGCAGTCGCGTGCTCGTCGTACTCGAGCCGCCCCACCTGCGAGAGTTCCTCGGTGCGAGCAAGAGACCTAACGGCAAGCCCCTGGACCTTCTCGTCGCGACCGTCGTAAGTGTCGTGAAATTCGCTGAACTTATTATTAAACACTTATACGGTGATCAGAAGTTACTCGGAGTATTATTATGACGCTTGAATGTTAATTATAAACTATTTGTTAATTTTTGGCACTTCAATTGCAACTGTCAACTATTTCTTAGTGTCTGGCTACAGTGAAGCAAGCGTGGTCACTACTGTAATGAAATCGATGCTTGGTCACACAGAGCCTCAAACAGCCAAATTAAATCGATTAAATATTTTAAATAATGATTCATTGCAAATGCAAGCATGGAATGTCTGATAGAAAGCATAGGAAGCTGTCAAATATCTATTCTTAATAAAAAATAAATACAAATATTGATGAAACTCCTCGTCTTTCAAGCCTCAATTCAATTATTCTGTTTACCAGCACACTAGACTGGGTGAGCTGAAGGCCGCTGGCCGGAACATTATGGCCGTCCGACTTGGCAGCCAGCAACACGGTATGCTTGAGGTAAGAATGTGTAATTAATTAAACATACTATTTAAATTATATATAATTCACAAGCTTAACATAAACACCAGCCTGAAGTAACAGAGGAATTTGTGCTTCCATAGTCGTGTAGTACGTGTTTGTTTAGTTAAGATATTGCAGGTATAAGCTCTAATACTCTTACATTGATTAAAGGTTGAAGTGCGCGCTTCACGATAAGAAATTTCATCTGTATTTTCATATTAACGCATAAGGAATATTTCTTAATTTTATTGCAGTTTGAAATCTAAACATTGAGACTATTAGTCAATAGAATACTTGTGATGTAGTGGCTGTGGTCGGGTATTCAATTTAATACTCTGATTAATAACAATCACAAAAATGAGGAATATTCGGGCATAATTAGGAACATTTTAGTATAATAAGCGATCAAATTACCCCACTCAATGCAGCAAAATTTCGACACGAGAGGGGCTTGACTTTGGTTTTGTCATCTATTGTTTATTCGTTCATTATTTTGTCAACTATCTGTTTAACTTTTTTATCTATTGTTTTATAATCTATTGTTTGGCCATCTATTGTTTTTTCTCCAATAATTTTGTCAACTATAACTTTTTCATCTATTGTTTGGTCATCAATCATTTTCTGTCATCTATTGTTTTTTCGTCTACTCATTTGTCATTTATAACATTGTCATCTAGTGTTTTTTATTTTTCTTTATCCATTGCTTTGTCATCAATTATTACCGAATCGACACTTTTCTGAACTCTCCCGCGAATAATAAGCGCGAACAAATAATAAGTACTTTAATTCTGAACGTATCTGCTTGAAATAGGGAATATTGCGTCAAGAGAAGAATTAGTGCAGTTTTTTAGTAATTTTGTTTCTGATTAAAATGAAAATGAGTAATTTTTACCCAACTGAACCAATCATAAGGCCTTCCATTCTGAACCAATCGATTTAAAATTCGGAATATAACCAATTATTTTTCCCAATTATATAATCAATATACAAATTTATATGTATGAATTTGTTTAAAGAACATAATTGCAAAAATATTGCACAGATCGACTGTTTGCTCAGGGTGGAATAGTTTGAAAATGCGTTGTGGTTCTTGCCAGCGGTTTCTGGCAAATACGAAAAATTCCTTAGGGAAATTAGTTAAGAACAAAAGAAGCTTGAGGCATAAGCATATATAGTGTGTACATGATAATTATACACTTATACATGATGTGCACATGATAATTATACACTTATATACATCAGTGGGTACAAAGCGCATGGCAGGTATTGCCGATAAGTGTGAGGATAAGTGTCTAAAATTTACCGAATCATTGAGGTAAAACTCGGACTATGTGACTATAGTTCTATTTCTCATCGTAAAATGCTGCATAGCCCAGCAGAGTTGCCGTAGTAAACTACGGATAACAAACAAAATATCGTATCGAATATGTTACATGGGGAGCACGAGAGGAATTCATCAACAACAATCATCAACAAATTTTTCCGTCCATTTTTTTTCAGCTATTATTTCGCTGTCTTTTGTTGTGTCTTTTATTGTTCTGTTATCTATGGTTTATCATCCAATGTATTTTTTCATCTATAGGATATTCACCCATGTTTTTGTCATCTATTGTTTAATTGTGTTTTGTTTTGTCATCTATTGTTTTGGTATCAATTCTTTTATCGTCTAATTTTGTTCATCTATTGTTCTTTCATCTATTCTTTTTCATATATTGTTTTGTCATCTATAGTTCTTTCGTCTATTGTTTTCCTAATGTTATTCCTGGGCAGGCTGAGGAGGCTCTCACCCTTGACGCTTCGGCGGTGCTGAAGGCAGCGCTCCACCACCACCAGAGGAGCGGCGCTCCGCCCCTCAGGACTGAGTCTGGCCTTTGCTTGTCACGCAGCCACTGGCGGCAAGGCCCTCAGTTCTTCCAGGCTCTCGCGCAGGTTTGTAACCGTCAAGAGTTTGTTCCCGTAGACTGACATTACGATCATCAGGTCTGATATATTATAAGACAGACAGCACAATGATACAGAGTTTGTCGCCGTCGCGGTGATTTGCCGTTTTTCTGACATTCCAGGAGTGTTATAGATAAGTAAAGGTTAGTGTTGTCAGATATGATTAGGCCATGTTGGTGCCCCACCAATTCTTAACCACCCGGCCACCTTGCCCATTGCGACCAGTACATTCACAGCTAGTCGCTTGCTTCGAACATGCAATTTGCTGCTCTAATTTTGCTGATTTTTACTTTAGCTAATAACTTACGATTGGTTGAACTGTTTACTCTATCACCGAGTCCGATAATTTGCCTACAGGAATATTCTACTTTAGTTGTTCGATGTCTTATTGAAAATTCAAATCACGAAAACAAATATCTTAACTATTTCATTGGGGCTGAATGAGTATCGTGAAATATTTGGACTTTTTAAACTGGTGAAGATTACTTAACATTCCGATGCGATTATCGTTTCGTATACGAAATTATTGATTCATTATTAATGTACAGTATAGTTTTTATAGAGTACAGTTTTTGTAGAGTACAGATTTTGTAGAGTATAGTTTTTGCAAACCGCTTGAGTATAGTTTTGCAAAAGACAGACGAGAAACTACCGATTTCAATCAACAATTAAAATACCCTCATACTGATGAGTGAAACCTTGCATTAAACTTTTTGCCCTTTGTGGGTCATCCTGACCCAGTTTGTCCCGACAAAAGGGAGTATCAGTGCTACGTCTGCTCACTGTTAGTGTTGTAGCGAAAAGTATGTTACTATTTAGGCATTGTTGCCCATTTTTTCTCAGTGATGCATTTGAAATCAATCAAAATTTATTGTAAATTATTTACGAGTAAATATACAGACAAAGCTGGAGGGAGCGTCGGGCCCTGTAGAGTTCAACGATCAGGGCAACCGCGTGGACTTCGAGCTTTCGATTGTGAACTTTTATGAGGGCATCACTTCTGAGATTGTGAGGTGAGTCATGTTATTAGTGAGGTGAGTCATGTTATTGATGAGGTGAGTCATGTTATTAGTGAGGTTAGTCATGTTACTGAAGCGGAAGATTATGATATTGATGAGATGTTTCATGTTATTGAAGAGGTTACTCAAGGGGTTACTCAATATATAAACTTGTCTGTATGGTTGTTGGCCCAGGTGGCAAGCGGGCTCTGGGGTGCCGGCAAACGGCAGAGTGCGACGTGACATACGACAGCTCTCAGGGGGCCGCAAGCCAACGCTCAGAGTGGCTGCTGTTCTGGTGAGCGGAAGAACATGGAAACTTTTATTGACCTTGTAAACTAAAATTGTTCAGGGACACAAATGCAAAATCATTACCCTCTCATTTTTTAGCCCTTACTATGATCTTGTCAATGGCCTGAAATTGCCACTGGACCTAGTACCACCACACATCAAACCCAGCAATCGAAATCTATTCATCGCTGTCAACAATCAATCTCTAACCAAAAACCGATCTTTAACCAAAAAACGATCTCTACCAACAACCGATCTCTAACCAAAAACCGATCTTTAACCAAAAACCGATCTTTAACCAACAAGCAATCTCTAGCCTATAATCGATCTCGAATCAGCAGCCGGTCTTCAACCAACTACGATATTGCGTAGATACAAACAACCTCCAAGCATGAAAGTTGAATCACCATTGCAATGGACCAACGAACACTATTATTATTTTCAAAAATATGCATGTTTGGAAAATTAGGTCTCTGTCATCAATGATATATCGAATACCTGAATACAGTTAACTTGACTTTTCAAAATGTTCCTCCAATTCCACTGAGAACTTAAAAATGTTCATAAAGTGTTTTTTATTTATTCTAAAAAATATTTCATCGAAGTTTCAGCTAGATTCCAATTTGAAGTTAATGCTTCAGCTGTCAAACTTCTCCCATCCACATTCGAAATTAATGATATAAATCCAAGTATTCTAGTGATAGGATTGAATTAAATTTCTCAGTATCCATGCTGTACATCTGTTTTAAGCTATTGTTTTTCCGTCAATTAATTTTTCATTTATAGATTATGATCTATTGTTTTTTCGTCACTTGTGTTACCGTCTATGGTTATTTCCTGATATTCTTAAATCTCGTACCTTCAGACAAAGACCTTAGCACTTGTCAGTTTAGTTCATCCAGCATACATTCAATTAAGAAAATCTCTCCTTATTCGCCTATTTCCCCAACACTGTAAGTGACCTAATGCCACAAGTATATTGTAAAAGCTTTATGGCATTTTGTTATAGGTTTTTATAACAATTTATTTTGCGTCGATTTTTAATTTTTCATCTGTTTCTTCCAGGTTTACTACATTAACAGAAACCAAAGTTCCATGCGTTTCTTTCTTGGAACGACTGTCACAGACAGGTTTTGTTATCTTATGTTCTTCCAGCTATTTTTCGGTCATCTACTCTTTGTCTTCTATTATTTTACAATCTGTTATTTTACCATCTATAATCTTACCAGCTATTATTTTAGCTTTTATTGTTTTGTCATCTATGATTTTTCATCTGTTGTTTTTTCTCTAACCAAATATTTTGGCACTCACTTCCCCCAGTCGACGCCCTACGTCGTGCTGAAAGAACTCGGAGGGAACGACACGGAAGAATTGTTCGGAAACGACCGCTACGAAGGCTTCAGTGTTGACCTCATGGACGAAATAGCTAAAGAAGTTGGCTTTAATTACATCCTGGACATCAACGACGAGGGATTGTATGGCAGCAAGGATCCACAGACCGGGGAATATAACGGCATAATCGGCGATCTGGCAGCGCAGGTGGACTTTATCACAGAGAAACTCTTGGACGTTCTATAATTTTATGGAATAATTTTTAACCTAAAAAAGTATTGACATTTATTTCTGAAGGACTGGTTCATGGAAAATCAGCTGCCATAATTTTCAATCAAGCTAAAAATATCATCCCTCCTTAAGTTGGTCAGCTTATATTGAGCTTATAATTGCTTTCTCTAATCATCATCAGTAAAATAATAGCATAGCATAACATAGTGATGTCGGCGCAGAAGAGTAGGCCTAATGTGGCCTGTCGCCGATTCTTACTTTTCGTGCCTTGTTCACAGAAGATCTAAAATCGTGTCATTTGACCGGATCTTTTCAAGACTGACGATAGTTTGAAGTAGCTACTAGACTTCCACCGGTTTCGACATGGTGCTAGGCATTTCAAGTCTGAACATATATTTATTCATAGCTTTATCTTGTCTGTTCTTGAACGCGTTTATACTCGGAGCGTCAACCCTGTAATCGGGGAATTTTGAGTGATGCACAAAGAAAACCATGAGGAAAATAATGAAATTAGATTTAAAGTGTCTAGACAAATTTTTTCAAAATTAATGATAATGATCTGCGGCACATTCTACTATGATCACTATTTACACTCAAATCTCCTTAGAAACACTACACTATTCCTACCATTTATTATTATAGTCAACGGACAAATTTAGGCCGCCAACTGACTGCAGCAACACTTATATTACACAATTATTCAAGTTGAATTACAGTTCGATTTCAGTTTCACCGCAGTTATATTATGGTTTTACAATAGTTTCGTTGCACTACATTTACAACTTATGACCAAAGTAATATCGATGACCAAAGTAATAACTTTAACCGAAAGTCTTCACATTGCAGCGCGTGGATGCTGCCATCGGAGACCTCACGATCAGTGAGAGTCGGGAGTCTGTCGTGGATTTTACTGATCCCTGGTACAGCTTTGGTACGTCGTATCTCAATATAATCATACATGACAACGCATATATCTCAATAGAATTTCTGTGTATTAATTTTGGTTTTAAAGTATCAAACTTGAAAGCTAAGGTTTCGAAGAATCTGTAACAGTAACATTTTGAATCGATTTCGTCCACGGAGAAGTTTCTCACCACGAACGTTAAAAATACATTAAAATAACATTTACTATCTCCCAATTTGTGTCACTATTAATGATCTGGTATTCGAGATTTTGGAGGATGTTTTTATAGACTTTTAGTGATAACAGTACGATTTATATTGAATTACATCTTTGAATTGCCTTTTTTCTGGAACGTAACCTAGCATATTTGTGTTAACTTCACACATATAATGGAAATTAAAGTGCTCGAAAACTCCCTTGTGCAGCGCATCGTAATAGCTTATCAATTAATTCTGTTAATATTTAACCCCCTAATCTGTTATATAAATTAGTAATATTTATCATCATGTAATATATATCAATATGCCATTATTTAATCAAATAATGGTATTATTTGATAATCAAATAATGGCATATTGGATTAAGTATGCCATATAATGGCATATTTAATCAAATAATGGCAATATCAATTTGCCATTATTTAATTTCGAATATGTTCTGAAGGCATCGGCTTGATGGTTTACCACACCGGGCCGAAGTCGAGCGGACCGATCTTCGGTTTCCTGAACGTCTTCGAGTCCAGCCTCTGGTGGGTCCTTCTAGCGGCCACGCTCGGCACGGCCGTTGTTCTCTTCCTGCTGTCGAGGTGACAACCGTGGGTACAACAGTGGTATAACAGTGGGTACAACAGTGGTATAACAGTGGGTACAACAGTGGGTACAACAGTGGTATAACAGTGGGTACAACAGTGGGTACAACAGTGGGTACAACAGTGGGTACAACAGTGAGTACAACAGNTGGGTACAATAGTGGGTACAACAGTGGGTACAACAGTGGGTACAATAGTGGGTACAACAGTGGGTACAACAGTGGGTACAATAGTGGGTACAACAGTGGGTACAACAGTGGGTACAATAGTGGGTACAACAGTGGGTACAACAGTGGGTACAATAGTGGGTACAACAGTGGGTACAACTGTGGGTACAATAGTGGGTACGACAGTGGATACAAAAGTGGGTAGGTGGAGTAGGACAAGCTGGAGTGGGTACAACCGGGGGAATAACATGAATGTAAAAGTAGCTGGAGTAGGACCAGCTTCGCAAAGAAAATATATATTTTTTTATTTTTAAGGAAAACACAAAAACTATAATGAGAGAAACGTCTAGTAGCCTTGTACCAATACCCGTAGTTCGAAAATAGGCTCAGCAATGAAATTGTCATGAACGAATGAGGTGAATATTTATCCTTTGTTCGTTGAATCATGAACACTGATAAAAAAATTGGTCTGACTTGCATCCAACTTGACCTCACGCTAGAAGAAATGTGTAAGCTACTGTCTAAATTGCGATGCACTTTTACCCTTATGTGGGTCATCCTGACCCAGTTTTGCTTAACAGAAAGGCTTATCAGTGCTACGCCCTTGCTACGCTCGTGCTGTGGGGAAGAACCTATGTTATTATTTGGACAACATGAACCATTCATTCTCATGATTGCAGACTGAGTCCATACGAGCGTGTGGGCGCCATGGACCAAGAGCCGCAGGTCTGGACACCCTTCACCCTCTGCTACTCCACCTGGTTTGCCCTGGGCACGCTCTTCCGACAGTTCATTTACTTCCAGCCGAGGTAGGTTAGAATTAGATGAACTTATAAATTCTACTAATACAGATTTTATAGTGGAAGACTGGAGGAAAAATTGCATATCAGACAGTTCATAAACTTCCAGCCGAGGTAGGTTGAAATTAAATGAACTTATAAATTCTACTAATACAGCTTTTCTGGAGGAAGACTGGTGGAAAAGTTGCATATCAGACAGTTCATAAACTTCCAGCCGAGTTAGGTTGGAATATGATGAACTTATAATATATATACCAATCCTGCTTTTCTGGAGGGAGGCTGGAAGAGAAGAAGCATGTCCGACAGTTCATTTACTTCCAAAAGAGGACATTCAAATTCTACTATTCCAAGGTTTTTGGTGGGGGACTAGAGGAGAAGGAGCTGCATTGTATTTATTTTTGGTTGTTGTTGTGGTTTTTGTTAATATCTTATTTTGTTAAAGATTTTTTTTCAGTAAATATTTATTTATTATGAGCGAAACGCCAGCTGCAATAATGCATTTTGCTAAACAAGATTCAGATTATCAAACTGAACGGACATAGCTAGTTCTCTAACATTTTTCTTACTATCGATTTAGGATGAACCAATTTCATAATTTTCCTTTATTCTGAATAATTTCGTCCTTTTTGCGCTCTCGAAAAAACTTTTGCTTTTCCGAGAACTACTTTTGTGCACCCAACATTAACCTTAACGCCTCTGACAAAAACTTTTTCACACCTGACAACTTCTGGTCAAACGGAAACAACTTTGGCACACCTGACGATAATTTTCGGAAAAACAACAACAAATTTTACGCGCCTGACAACAACTTCTGGGCAACCAAAAATAATTTTGGCTCACCTGCTAATAATTTTTGCAAATTTTACGTGCCTGACAACCGTTTTAACCAGAGAAGCTGGTGAAATTTTTTGTTGAAAAACATGTATTTCCTCCCCGATCGCAGAGCACCATCGACACGTTTAGTAACCCTGGCGTGGTGGCTGCTGGTTATCATTGTGGCCGCGCACTACGTCGCTAACCTCGCCTCGTTCTTCACGCTGCGGGGCCTCCGCTCCCTCGGAACCATCAAGTCTGTGTACGATCTGCCTGATCAGAACCAGATCACCTACAACGCCCTACACGGGGGATCCACGTGGGCCTTCTTCAGGTGAGATCATCGCACATATTTTTGCGAGGTTGAAGCTATGGGAAATATGATAACGCTGATTCACTGGAAATTATTTATCAGAAAATTAGAATAAATTAGCCCAAAAATGGAAACGGCTTAGTTGACGGAGGCTATTGAATAATTTTAAATTATGCGATGACGAAGAAAAAATATAACGGCACAACTTGGAACTATTAATTTAGTGCATGTGAATTCAGCACGCTTGAAACGTTGGAATCTAATAAAAAATTGAATCTAATTAAAGAAAAATTTAGTAAAATTATTATAGTTGTACTAAGCATTTGGCGTAGCATACGTTTTCATTCCTAAACGTTGAAAATTCTTGCTTTTGGGCCTCGTATCTTACAGTAAAAAACACAACTTTTTCAACAGTGGAATAGCTAGGTATTGTTTTTAAACCTTCATAATCGAAGGAAAATCCTGACATGTTTTTTAATCGTCTTTCTTTATGAACATGCTTAAAGTTAGATACAACAATAGAGATGACTCGAAAGCTTTTTAGCGCATTTTCTTATTTATGGAAAAAATGCCTATTGTGCTAGCCATGTCCGTCTGTCAGTCCGTGACCTCAAGTTTTCGCCGACGAGAAAATGCGCTCTCTGTCACTCACTGCAGTGAGTACTGAGTTATATTTTTTTATTCCTTTTGAGACTGCATAACTTTGCTATCTTGTAATCTTACCGAGTTCATTTACGGTTGTACCTACGAAATCAGGATAAATTGTACGTTCACTGCTCGAATGTCACGCTCTCAGAGACGCCAAGTCGGAGAGCCTACAGCGCGTGTACTCCGCCATGTACAACCGAGCGTCGGAGCAGCGGATCAAGAGCTCAGCTCAGGGGGTGGAGGAAGTCCTGGAAGCTCAGGGATCCTTTGGCTTCCTGATGGAGGAGCCAACGCTCGAGTACGTGACAGAACGCAACTGCGAACTCAAACAACTCGGAGGAACTGTCGGGTCTCGGGACTACGCCATTGCTCTGCAGCAAGGTTAGTTGTGGCACTCCATAGTGGCCTGGGACTGCTACGTCTGAAATACATAACTAAGGATACTCAAGATGTAAAATATATTAATGCTTGCACCATGTTATCGCACTGCAGCAATGTTTAATGCTACACTGGCTAGTCTAAGTGCAGTGCAGTGTATCTAAGTGCAGTGCAGTGCATCTAAGTGCAGTGCAGTCTCCCCATTCCAGAAAGACTTGAAGCTAAATTCTCTAGGAATCTTTCATGAGATTTTCAAAATTATTTCTAGAAATGTGCACAAGTTAACTTATCATAGGTTTTAAGCTTCAGAACCCAAATATTGTCCACAGACTCGCCGTACCTCGACTACTTCAACGACGCGCTGTACTCCATCCGCGAGTCAGGACAGCTGCAGGCCCTGCGCGACATCTGGTGGCGGGAGAAGCGGGGCGGCGGCCAGTGCGAGGTGAGAGGTGTGGATAGCTAGAGGTCAACATAGCCCAAGTCTACAGTGCGATTCATATACCTTCCCGAGCGTAATGCAGCCGGGCATCTTCACGGCTTTTGACACAAAGTGCCCACCACAACAGCGCAGTTCAGTCACAGGCCGAAGCGCATACAGGCCGGAGCACAACTGGCCGGAGCGCAGCAGGCCCTACCGCAACAGCTACTCTTAACGTAACTTAACCTAACCTAACCTAACCTGCGCCGCCTGATGCGGTAGGGCCTGTTGCGCTCCGGCCAGTTGTGCTCCGGCACTGTGGAGCAGTGGCTGTGTTGTGCAAAGCGGGTTTACTGTTAGCCGGAGTTACCCAAAGCTCATTGATCTGAGGCTATGTGTAGCTATTGCATGCTGATGGTTGGCGTTGGGCCCAGGGCCTGTTTACGAGTCAATTTTGTTACCCACGGCTGCGCTCCCGGTGAGAGAGCTTATATAGAGCGCCGTGAATGTCAACATTTACAGAGACTTGTATTCAAATAAAAGATTATTTCATTGATTGTTTTTGATCGTTGATATCAGCACTCACATTAAGTTGTAAATGAAGATAGGATTTTTTATATGATATAAATGATAAATAATGAGTCCTAATAAATGCGATCACCTACGTATAAAATTAATTAATATTTTTTTCCAGCTCGGCAGTAAAATGATAACGATCAAACGGAGTGAAAATTAAGTTAAATTAGTCGAAGTATGTTATAATTCTGCAGTGTAAAATTTTCTCATATTCAAATAAAACCTCCAACATAGAACCTAAAATAGAACCTTAAACCTCCCAGATTTGTCTCGTTTCTACTTGTCCATCTGATGCGTACTTCAGGCAGAGCTACGCCTAAAATCTGACTTATTGCGTACATCTTAGAAGACTAACCATATGAAATTCCCCTAAGTCTATTTAAAAGTAGGTATGGATTAATTCAACAGTCTATAAACACCAACTCCAAAAGCCGCTACTGTCAGAGATGTGACTTGAACACACCGCAAAATGCACTTATGATGCATATTTATTGAAACTTGTGTATCTTGTGACAAGTCGTAAATTTATTTACATTTTCCAATTGATGAAATGAATCATTTACTTATGTAAAATTATTTTATGATTTAATTACCTAATATTTCTTCCTCATTAAGAACTTATACGCTATGAACACACTGCGTTACTTCCTCGCAGTCCCTCTTCCTGGCGACTGAGCTCTCGGCGACGGCGCCTCTGGTGGAACTTCACGGCCTAGCAGGGCTGCTGCTGTTGCTTTATTTATTTATTAGATTAATAATTTGTATTCTCCAAGAAAATATATGTTCTGAGTGTACTATATTCCTCCCTCGCAGTCCCGCTTCCTGTCAACGGAGCCCTCGGCGACGGCGTCTCAAGTGGAGCTGGATGACCTGGCAGGGCTGCTGCTGTTGCTTTATTTATTTATTAGATTAATAATTTTTATTCTCCAAGAAAATATATGTTCTGAGTGTACTATATTCCTCCCTCGCAGTCCCGCTTCTTGTCAACGGAGCCCTCGGCGACGGCGTCTCAAGTGGAGCTGGATGACCTGGCAGGGCCGCTGCTGCTGCTCGTCGCGGGTGTGGCCGTGGGGCTCGTGCTGGCGCTACTCGAGTGCTGCTATTATGCCACGGCCAGCGCCAACGCTAAGGGCGTGAGTAAAATACACATGAAAATGAGGTTTTTAATGTGAAAACTGATTTTAATATTTTTATTCATTGTAGAAAAATAACACTCACATTTGTTTCGGCTAAGTTTATAGATAATGTAAATACGGGCCATGTGTAAACCAAATAAAGTTCACAAAACAGTTCAATAGGGATGCCTAGAGTACATTTAAAACTGAATCGCTAACGTGGAACAATAATATGAAATTATAGGGAAATAAGACCTGTGTTTATTAATCATACTATATCCCATCTATAGAACTTGAGTTCAATCTCATGGAACATAGTTCCCGCATATCGTTGTTTTTATGATTGAGAATGTAATAATTTGATACTGATTGTGTGACATCACATATTTCAATATAATTTAATAATTACTACATGGGATTCTTACAATAAGGATACTAACATCGGATGTTAATGCGAACTGTTTCCAACCCAGTCGTGAAATTAACATGTATATGGAAATTCAATTCTACTAATCTAAAGAATATGGCAACAGATATATTTAGAATTTTTAATGACATGAATAATCTAATAATATAAGTCACGCTTCTATTATACTAAAATGAACTAAAAATTAAATTAATTATAGGAACATCTAAAATTAAAATTCCTATTTGAATAATTTATAAGCATTTAAGTTTAATTCCTTAATCATGATTAATAAGTCTTTATGTAATAATAATTCCCTATTTAAGAATAATTCTTATTCATTTATTTATGTACATAATTAATAATAACGAAAAATAATTATATTATTTTTATATAATTATATTATTATTGTTATATAATTATATTATTTTTGTTATATAATTATATAAAAAATAATAATAATGTATAATTGTACCAGAGCTCGGTGGGGTCAGAGATGAGTCAGCAGTTCTCGCAGGCCATCACGACGCAGCCCGCTGAACAGCTCCCGCTGTCTCGCCAGCCTAAGGCCTGAACACCGCCAACTACTCCGAGACTTGCGTTAAAATTAATTTAAATTGAAATTAAAAATTTAAAAATAATTCTCCATCAGGCAAATGATGTTGCAAAACTTGTAATCAACGTTAATCGAACGAAATCAATTTGTAATCGACGTTAATCGAACAAAATCAACTTGTAATCAACGTTAATCGAACGAAATCAATTTGTAATCAACGTTATTCCAACAAAATCAACTTGTAATCGACGTTAATCGAACAAATTCATCTTGTTATCGACGTTAATTAATCTTCATTTGCCTGGAGGGAAGGCATTACTCATCACTACATAATGATATATTTTTGACAAGTTTAATCAATTAAACAAGGAAATTGATCAACTTGGTTTATGATAAAATGAGATAAGCTTGTTCCTTTTTTTGATTTTCTGTTTAAAATTACTGTTTGTAGAATTTTTTTTTCTACTTAGTATCCTTAGTATCCTACTGTCCAAAGTAATCAGACGTATTATTTAGGATTACCGTTTCTATTGTGTATTCAATTCTAACTAAGAGCAAAGTTTATGTTTGAAGAATATAGCTAAGTGATCATTGTGCTGGAATAATGACGAATTTAATTTCATGCGAGTACACGATACAATTACCATGAATGTACCGTGCATATCTTGTCTAACAATAAAGCAGAGTACAGTTATCCATGTGCGCGTTTGATTCTAACCAAATTCATGTAGTGCGAAGAAGAATTCAATCCATTGCTGCAGCGTAGAGCTATTTTATCGATGGAATGAGATACATAAAAAGTTTTTATTTTTTAATCAATGTCTTAATCAATCTTTATTTATAAACCAATTTTAGGATATTATTTCGGAAAACGTGTCGTTTTCCCCTTAGACGTCGTTTACGAGAGCCAAAATTGTTAGAATTATAGTTAAGAAAGTGCGAGCACTCTTGATACAATTTGACTATAGAACTTGTATGAACTGAGTTGATTAGTATTGATTAGTATATGGGCTTAGTATTTGTTATAGTTTAAGTCTCAAAACACAATAATGTGGTTGATTGAAGTTAAATCTTGGCCCTGAATTGACAATCAACTGAACTGAGATTAAGCTTGACCATATCTAATCCATGTTAATTAGGCTGATTCAGGTTTACAAAACTAGAAACAATGAATTGATTTCTAGAACTTGTTTACGGATTAAAACAGATTCGAGAGTTAAATAAAAACGTTGGTCATTAACTAAAACTTTTAAATACCTTAATCAAAGCACGGAGGGAAGTAAAACAAACAAGTTTGCACGTATTTATTACTTAGAGGAGAAAAAAAATTTTGTTCGCTAATTTCAGTTTCAAAAAGAGCTCTAATTTGATTCGAAACTTGTTGGATGAAGCAAAATAGGAAATTTTAACAGTTATTCTTACTGATATATTTGTTAAAACTAAGGAATACATTAGGCTTTTGAAGCCTATACGAGTCTTCCATCTTTCAAGCACGATTTGTAGTCACGCAAGATTTGGAGTCAAGCTAGATTCTTCGTCAAGCATGATATGGATTGAATAAAAATTAGCGCACTATCAATAATCGAGAGTACAATTAATCAAAAGTTCTGAATGAGCAGAATAAAGAGATTTCATAAGTTTAATATTTGGATTGCAGTTACGGGCTCAGATGTTGAATCTTGATAAAATTTTGATTGATTCAATGGTTGCAATACAACAACAAACTAAGCCAATTCCAATAATCTATGGGGTCTCGACAACTGAAATTTGAAGAGTTGGGTGTCGATGTGAATCAAAAAGTCATATTATTATCTGTAATAAAAAATGTTATCAGAAATTTACAAAAGACTAATGAAAGTTTAGCCATTTGTACAAAATGTTAACACTACCGGCCGCGTCATATACTACAATCAGATGCTTAAACACCAAAATTCATAAAAAAATTAAGAGATTCGATCATCAGCACCAACAATGGAATTAGTTTCGATATAAAAAATTAATTTTGAAGTTACATGGATGTCATTCTCTCCCTTCATGGCAATTCAGAGGCTACACTCCTCTCAACATCAAGTTTACAAAGTCACTGGGTAATCTTGATCAATGCGACAAACTTCCAATGCTGTCAATATACACCGGGAAATAGTTACCGATATTAAAGTGGTTCATGCTAATGAAAAGTTGCTCAGGATTCTCATTCCATGGCATTGCTGAAGCTGCAATCTAATCATCAACTTTAGTAAAGTTATGTGCAAACTCGGCACACTTTATTTCGATGCTGTCAATATCCTCCGCAAAATTTATCCCATCATAGAAGTGGTCCGTGCTACTGAAAACTCGAGCAGGATTCTCCCTTCATAGCGATGCTGAGGTTACGTTCCCGGTAGCCCGCTCCTCTCTGGGACCTCTCCATGGTCCTTTTCTGGAACTTGCCCTTGTGCAGCAGTCCGTCCGTGCACGCCCTTGTCCTGAAGGGAGTTGCTGGCAACACCTCCCCCTCCTCCGGCGACAGCTTCGTCCGACCACCGCTGCCGCGGTCGTCGCCGTGGGACGATTTACAGAACCGGAAGTTGGTGAGTGAGTCCAGGAGATTGTCAAGACCGTCTGGCGAGGTAATGAGTCTCTGGGTCTCCACCATCCTCAACTATTGCTTATAAAATTTTAACTATCAATATTTTTTCATTATATTTTCTTCAATCTATACGACTTTGATGCTAATCTATGCATGATATACTGATCATAAATAATCGAAATTTTGCCCTTGTATCATATATTATTGATTAGCTAAGAAACTCGAAACTATTTATTATGTAAAATATAGCTAAAAAGTATATAATTCTGCTTGTAGATTTGCTGGCTGCCATGTAAAAGTTTATTGCACATAACCATTATAAACAAAAATCATATAATAGAATTGTTGAGATATGTAGACTATACAATAAAAATTTGAGTGCTTTTACACGGAATATGCATGATATGCAGTGTGTGAATGGAAAATTAAATTTAATAAATTCTATAAAATCTGCAGATGTCAAGGCGATACTAATAAACTAATCTGATCATGCATAACATGCGACAACATTAAAATGAACAGTAATGTTGATCTTTATACCAACGCCATGCAAGTCAACATGATTAAAAAACGATACGACATACGAGAATCTTTGCCCCAAACTGAAGACGTCCACTGCGTTTTCCAGACCGATCTGGGATCGTCAGTAGCATCAAATTTTTCAGGTAGGCTTTCATCCTGTCATCACGCTGATACGAGTTTTGTCTTGATACTTTGAGTGAAAACCGCTAGTAATTCTGCTGAATTGGCTAATTTTCAGGTAGTTTTAGCATTCAGTTTTATTGATATTGCTTATTGCTAATAAATTCTAAAACGTAGAAATTCGTCACAAGGCAATGATAGTCTATCTAATATATACTACTTGGAACGATTGCGCAGAATAGTCTAGTAAAATATGTATTCAACATGTATTTATCCAGTGCAAAACTTATTTCTATTCTGTGCACAACATTTGAAGTTATAATTAATCGCCGTGAGAATTTTGTAAATTTTCTTCAATTCAACCTTATAACGCTGAATAACGGCTTGCGTAATTTTACATTTGATGAAACGAAACAAAACTCTTAAGATATTTTAATCACATGAGGAGATTTGAGTCAGAACGAAAATCAAACGCATAACAGACTTCAAGAAACAAAACTTTTAGTAACAGCAATTTTGCCTTTTAAACTGAACATAAAAAGCCATTTGACTTCGCCATGAACAGAACAGAAGAAATTGGCCGCTATGTGTTCTTATGCCGTTACGTGTACTTAGGTCGCTACAAGTACTTAAAAGTGGTTATGCGTAATTAAGCCGCTACATGTACTTAGGCCGCAGTGTGTAGTTAAGCCGCCATTTGTAGTTAGGCCGCTATGTGTAGTTAGGCCACCATGTGTAGTTCGGCCGCTATATGTAGTTAGGCAACTATGTGAACTTAACCGACTTATGACTTAACTTAACCGTGGCCTAAGAGACCCTACTCTGGTAACGAGATTTATAGTCATTAAACAAGAGAATAAGCATGAATTCTTCAAATCCTTCGAAATTTTTTATAGTAAATAACATTTCGAGGTTCATCGCCCTTATCAACTAGATTCACGCAGGGACAATATAGAGAAAAAAAATGAAATGCAGGGATAACATAGAGAAAAAAGTAGGACAGGGTATGACACGTCGTGCAGGACACACGTCATGCAGGACACACGTCATGCAGGACACACGTCATGCAAGACACACGTCATGCAGGACACACGTCGTGCAGGACACACGTCGTGCAGGACACACGTCATGCAGGACACACGTCATGCAGGACACACGTCATGCAGGACGCACGTCGTGCAGGACACACGTCGTGCAGGACACACGTCATGCAGGACACACGTCGTGCAGGACACACGTCATGCAGGACACACGTCGTGCAGGACACACGTCGTGCAGGACACACGTCAGACGGGGTGTGTGCGGGAGCGCAGGGATGCTGGTCGACGAGGGCTCGGCAGCGCTCTCGTTACCCTTGGCGTTCCTGAGGGGAAAGTTTTTAATTGTTGCTCAATACAAAATACGTCCAAATGAATACAGAGAATTTGCAATTAAAATTATTCCGCTGCTTTCTGAAATAAGGGATATAAATTTAAATAAAGAACAGTTAAAGTCATTCCGTTTTTACAGGAAAAATATGCGAATATGACTAAAAATCTATTAAATGTGCAATGAAAAAATTTTCCATTGCTGACTTTAAATTTAGTGAATGTTTATTCACTAAGTTCAAAAGAATATCAAAATTATTCCCTTGCATAATAAACGAATTCGTGAGCATGGCTCAAAATATGGAGAATGTGACATTAAAACTCTTCCATTGTACATCAAACAACAAGAAGCCGCAACTTCAACGTCCAGAAATAAAAAATGTTGTAGGAAATAAGTTAAATTATTTGTGAACAATCAACATAGCAACCCTCGTTTACATTGATGCAGGAACACATTAAACAAACGGGCTCACCTACATATTTGTTCACGATCATTCGGTTTCTTGAAGGATACAATAATAGTGCTTTACTCAAAATTTTGTAGAAAATTCAAGTCTGAATTTACCATATAAAGACGCAGGAGGGAATAAACTTAAACACACGGACGCATCTCCAAACATTTAACACGAAATAAATTTATGATGAGGTATAGTTCTATTTACCACGACTGACTTGTAACATTTAGTGATAACGGAGATATTCAGGCAGCTAAATTGTGAACAATTAAAATGCACATTGACGATCAGAGTACAAATACAATGGAGATTTTGATGATCAAAGTACGAGTGAAAAGATGGTTATGATAAAATTACATGTACACTGATTGTTATTGTGTCAAAGTAGTATTAGTAGTGTGTCAGTGTACAGTGACGAAATGAGAGTTATAACTGATGGTGTTAAAGTTGCAGAGTGACGTTATTAATGGAATAGTTACCGAGATGATAAAGACGTTACTAATAGTGTAATATTTACAGAGATGAGAGTGACGTTACAAATGGAAAAGTAACCGAGATGAGAGAGACGTTATACTAATGATGCATTAGTTACCGTGACGAGAGACGTTATCAATGGTGTATTAGTTACCGAGATGAGAGAGATGTTACTAATGGAATAGTTACCGAGATAATAGCAACGTTACTAATGGAATAGTTACCGAGATAATAGCAACGTTACTAATGGAATAGTTACCGAGATGAGAGACATGCGTGGTGACGCGCCCGACGTCGCTGAGAGGATCGTGTACCTCAGAAGCAGCGCGCCGTAGCCGCGGCGTCTTGTGTTCCTGACGCACGAGTCTGATGGCGTTCGTGAACACCTCCTGCACCTGGGAAATATCATGCATGGGTCATACTTTCAAAACTCGCTAAGTGAACGTAAATACTTACGCTCTATTTCCTTGTCTATGATTGGTGGATTTTGCTTGAAAGGCCGTCAATGATTGGCTGATGAACTTACGGTCTCTTAACTATTTTTTGAAAGTATAGGCCCTGTACTTGCATGGATGTGCGAGGCTGCAATCTACAGGCTAATTTATTTACGTGTATTTTGCTATGACTTTTATAAAGACTAAGATTTTAATTTTTTCGTCTTAGATTTTCAGATTTTCATGAGTATCAGTCCTTAAAATTTTGAATCAATTTCACTCAAACTAATTTATTTTATGATATTATTTGCTTTTTTGTAATTTTTTTCACGAGTATTTATGAAAGCTTGAATAAGTAGTTTTGATTTTCTATATTAGAGCCTACACAATTAACGATAATAGCTGTAATTTTCTCATATTACTGTTTTCTTGCGGTTTCATTTATTCTCTTTACACTCATTTATTCTGTATACGTCCATATGACATCAACAATAAACTATCTATTCCGCACATATCATTTATCCCACTAATTTAAAACACTTTATTTTATTTCATACATTTATTTTTTTTTTTGTTTTTGCTCGTATTGCTCAAAATTTCCTTATGCTTCTGTCTTTTGACAACAGCTGCTTGCCTTTACTATAGATATGAGTTAACATCATGACGGATTTCCTTGATGATTTCCAATATTCCTCCCTGTACCACTAATAATATTTAATATGTTATTTTTAATGTAGTGCCCGTAGCAATAAAATTATCTGTTGCAGGCAATAGCCTTCTAATCATGAATTCATAATCCAAACAACGGCAGATTTAATTTTGTAGATCATCTTGATCAGAAAATAATTCATTTCTTGAAACTGCGAGTAATCTATTCAACTATTACCGGTTTCAACAACCATGAGTGATCGCTTCCTTCAATTTTTATTCAAGTCAATTTCAAGTCAGTTAATCATCATCAAAAGCATTATAAATTGTCCGCTATGTTTATTCTCATGTATTTGAACAGAAAAGACTGAAGATTGTATAAGTTTTCAAACGATTGAACGATTCATGAAAAGACAGTTTCTCAGCTAGTTCGCAAAATTATTCTCAATTATTGTAGCAAAAATTATGAGATGAATGCAAATCGATGAATGAGCATACACTTAGATCAGGTTCTACTGTACATTGAAGAAGGTTAGCTCGTAGCCAAAGTTGCATGACATTATTTAGAACCTAACCTATTTGCTCATTTTGCAAAATTATAGGATTTCGCGAAACCTGAGCGAATCTAGATATATAGGCGATGTTTCTACGACATTATCTATAACCCAAGTTCTTATCAAGAACCTAATCTTAAATACATGAAAAGGCTAGGGAGAAAATGTAACCTAGGCTACGGTTTTGGACACAGGTTACGGTCTCGGTAAACTAACACAGGAGATTATCTAATATCTATTATCGTAGATCATGTTCCATTAAATGAAACATATAATAATTTAATGATAAACTAACCTCATCAATGCTCTCCCGAGCAGAGATCTCGTGAAAGGCCCTGCAGCCGATGTCCCGGGAGCGCCGTATCCCTTCGTCTGTAGTCACCATGCGGTCGCCGGGCAAGTCCTTCTTGTTCGCAACCAGCAACACTGGCGCTTCTTCTCTCGGGTCCTGGCGACGAAATATACTTATGCTAGAACTGACTTATTATCTATATGGGATTGATATAAACAAGTTACAATAATGTATGCCTGATATAAATAATATAATATTAGTTTAAGACGGCAGAATTTGTTCCTTGAGGCAGGCAAGTTTGAAAGACGACTACAGGTCAGGACAGTGATGTAAGTGGGTCAGGTCAGTGATGTAAGTGGGTCAAGTCAGTGATGTAAATAGGGAATTTAGGTGTCGAGCTACGTTCAAAATCACAGCTTTTAAACGTAATAAACCATACAAAGAGCAAAAAAAATCTGCTCTGTACGGTGAAATAGAATGCATAACTGTAAATCAAATAACAGGTAAAGTAGATGACCAATTGTATACCTTGGTGGCATTACCGGTGATCTTACGACGTCTTTTGTTATAATTGATGAGGAACTTAGCACGACTGCAGTCGTCGAAGCTGCATCGATCTGTCACCGAGTACACGAGAAGGAACACGTCCGCCCACCGAATATTGGCTTCGTGACGGTCTCCATCCTGAAATTAAAAGTTATTTTAATTTTATTTTTATTATTTTTCCCTCATTGGTCTATTTTGCTGTACCCACAATTCGCCAATCTAAAACATCGCCAGCTGTGAAAAATTTATTTATCATCGCTAGAAGTAATCTAAATATTTGGTGTAAAATCCGTAGATTAAATTTTCATTTTACAACGTCGCCAGTCCGTTCGTGCGATATTTATGCCGGTGATGATTCCCTTATCAAAAAAACATTCACTTTTAATAAAGATCATCAGCAATTGATCATGCGGTTATTAATTAATCATGGAAATATACTTTTATAGGATTCAAATCCTTCCTGTGAATAAAAGATCAATAAACAAGCCTATTTTAGTAAATAAGCATTTAAACTTGGACCTCGGTTTTCAAAAATTAAAATAATTAAATTACAGTTATTGACATTATTACTATTATTATTGCTTACTGTGAAATATCCACGAAATGCTATAATAAAGAACTTTCAAAGACTGAAGAATGATAAAAGCTATGCAAAAAGAAAGTGCCAATTTTTTCAGAGAGCATTAACAAATCAATCTACTCTTAATGTATTTTGAAATACGAAACTTTGAAATGCGAAACTAGCACCTAAGTTAAATCGTGACAGCTTACTCTGAGTTTATTAACAAATCAATGCAGAAGGCCTGGCGACCATCAAAGAGATTAGAGCAGCCGAGGGCTGACCCAGTTAATGGGAGACCCACTTAATATTCTTGTAAACAGGAAATCCAGATGGCAATTATCGAATTAGGCGAAAATACGGCAAAATAAAGCAATTAGCGAGTGCTACATCGCAATCATGAAGTGCAGATAACAGGAGTTTAGTTGTGAATATGAAAATAGGGCGAAATAAAGCAATTAGCGAGTGCGACACGCAATCATAAAGTGCAGATAACAGGACACTAGCTGTGAATATTTTGGTCGCTGTTGTTAATGGAAATAAGCGCGTTGAAAAATTAATAATTATTCTAATAGATACTAATTATTAAAATCTTAATTTTAGGCTGCTCTTGTTGCCGCTCGTGACAGAATTAACTTTCAGTGGCGAGAGTTCAGTGGCGAGTCATGAAGTCACGAAGACTTGGCCTATCATAATAATATGCGTTTAAAATTACTTTTAAAAGACAACACTTCCAAAGAATCCAGTATCTTCAATCTTAGAGATGTACAATGAATTTCTCATCTAATTTCCAAAAATTAAAAAAATTAACTTTTCAATATTTTAATATATATAATTTTTTTAATATATAAATTTTTTCAAAATTATTTATTCTGTTAATTAATTCATGCATTGCCTCTGATTTCACACAAGTGTGCAAAATTTCAGATCAATTAAACAGATAAAAGTGTGTCAAATATCAGTTATAAGATTTGGAGCTGACAAAATTATTTTTTCAATTTTTTTAATTTGAAATTTTTTTTTTAATTTTCAAAATATTTTATTTTGACATTTGATTCATGCATTGTCTCTAACTTTACACAAGTGTGCAAAATTTCAGATCGATAGGATAAGTAGAAATGTATTAAATTTCGATTACAAGATTTGTAACAGACAGACAGACAGACAAACAGACAAGAAGTGAAGTTAAAGAGAAGTGTTGTAAAAAGTTATGTTTCATTAAAATATCTGTAATTTTTAGCAAATTATTACAGGGAACTTTCATCATGCAAGTAACTTTTTATTCATCTGTTATTTGAATAAAATTACTGTTTTGAACAAAAACGACTCATCATCATTTATATATAAACAGACCGAATAATGAATGTCTCCTTCATCTTGTATTTCGATTACAATGAAAACATTTTTATTTCACTACTGATAGTACATATTTTCACAATGAATGGAATATTTTAATGAATGCCTGCCTGATATCTTCTATTTGTTTCCGAATTGACCCAACAGCGCTCGAAGTCCACCAACGATTTACTTAATTAATTAATATTCAGAGAATTAAGAAGCACTTTCCCCGAATAGTGATGTACTTTCAGTCCTTATGTGGGTCATTTTCACTCATGTTGGACAGCCAAAGCGGTATAGCAGCGTCCACTCGCAGCTCGTTCTGCTGTAAGGAAGTGTGTTACTATTTAGACAATATTCCCCATTTATTTTTATGAGTGTACGTCGTGTCAAGATTAAAGGTACAAAATTTCTGATATTTCTCAATTCCTCATAGGTATAAATCGCTTCCAGTGTGGCTAATGTTTGAAATGAGAGATAAGCTTTGGCCATGAATGTGTAAAAATCATTCGTATGCGTGGCTGAGGCAGCTAAAATGCTGGTAGTGCGATAAAATGAGTATCCGATTGTTCCAAGTCAAGAAGTAACGGTAAAAATATAACTCAGTGCTCACTGCAGTGAGTGACAGAGAGCGCATTTTCTCGTCGACGAAAACGTGAAGTCACGGACGGACGGACACGACGAGCACAATAGTGCATTTTTCCCATAAATGAGAAAATGCGCTAAAAAGCGTAAAACATAGGGAAGAGAAATCAACCCAAATTACTTCCTAAAGGCATTCCGAATCTCTCCATATAGATGTGTTATATGTTATATATTTCTGATATTGATATATCATAGGTTAAAATTACGTTTTCTTATGGAAGTGTTATAGATAAAAATTGTGCGTCTTAGATTATCAGATAAAGTTATAAGGTATGTTGCAGTTGTCCTTTTGATCAACACCTTCAGTCCTTCACCAATGATACTGTACTTCACAGCAGTCCAATTACGTATTTATGTGTAGGTACGTAGTAGGTACGTAGTAGGTACGTAGTAGGTACGTAGTATGTACGTAGTAGGTACGTAGTAGGTACGTAGTAGGTACGCATATAACTACGTGTGCGTGTTAGGTTCGTATGCATACTAAGGTATGCATGGCTACTAGTACGTGTAGGTAGGCAAAGAACTGAAAAAAGTTTACGTGCTTAGGTATATATGCGTATCGGCACGTGTAGAAGGTGTGTAGTCACGTGTTGTTGTTGTTGTGGTTCCCCGGTCTCAATTTTGCAGGAGACTCCAGTCACGTGTAGAATGCGTGTGCGCACATGTAGGCACGTGTAGAATGCGTGTATGCACGTGTAGGCAAGTGTAAGCACGTGTATAATACATACGTGTAGGCACGTGTAGAATGCGTGTAGGCAAGTGTAGGCAAGTGTAAGCACGTGTAGAATGCGTGTAGGCACGTGTAGGCAAGTGTAAGCAAGTGTAGAATGCGTGTAGGCACGCGTAGGCAAGTGTAAGCACTGTAGAATGCGTGTAGAATGTATCCTCACCGCACATGAGAACTTTAGCGGCAAAGTTTTATTTATTTTTCAAATTACTCGGCCAGTTTCTGCCACTGCCACTACTTCTAACGATTCAGTTACAGTTATTGTAATGAATTTCAAATTTTCAATATATGAGGTCAATTTGATACTGATCTTAATTTCTTGTCTTGACTTGCTTTGATGAAATTCACAGCTCTTTTGCACTGCAGGTAATTTTTCCGAATTCGGCCTTTTTTTATTTCGGTTTTCTTCCCCTGAATTGCAAGAACGCGTGATAAATAGAGACTTGCACAATACTTGGTACTGCTCTTAAGTGGCATGACTTCTTCATATATAAGAGATAAAAGTAAAACGATAATTCCCGCAAAAGAAATTTCTTAGAATATTATAAGCTAGGAACAGTATAATTTATTTTATGGTCTATGCATACATTGAGAATTTAAACCAGAACAAATGTAATTAAAGAAGTTTTTACTTATATAACTGTTTACAAATTGAAACTAACGTTTCAAGCGCGTCAAGCTCTCATAAAATTCTCGTTTTTGTTATGTCAATCATCAGAGCGCATATAATATTCTGACCAAATTAAGTGAAGCTTACTTAAATGTTACTCTTAAACTTAAACTTAAATGTTACTCTTAAACTCTTATGTTACTCTTAAACTTAAAATGTTTACAAGCCTTATGGGCTCAATAAGGCAATTTCAGTTCATAACTCAGGACCTCATGTGAACACTTGAGCTCAGAGTATAGGAGCTGTTGACCAACCAACACCCGGCGCCTGGAGTGAGCGATAGCGGCGTAGCGCTACAAGCTTGGCGTTATTATAGCCTGCTTTATGATCAAACTGTAACACTCGTTCCCAATCATCACAATGCGTACTAATTGGTCATACGAAAATGCTCAACACTTTGTCTACGGAAGGTATCTCGCATTACCCTTGGCCTCCAGATACGTTCAAGTTAATCGAACACAAACGAGTAACCTTTTATCTCTGGTAACTATCGTTACTTGGCCTCCAGATACGCCCAATATTAATCCTGATACGAAAGATTAACCGTTAGCCTTTGGAGACAACTCTAGTTACCAGGCCTTCAGTTACGAATAGCTCTATAGACAATTAATGCAATTATAGGTAACGGCAAAGAAGGAGAAAAGGTATCAATATCATAAATATATTGTGCATCACCAAACAATGCAATACGCAAGTAATAATAATAATTTTACTCTTCAATTGAAACAAGGACGTTCCACTCAAAAATTTTATTATAACTTCTTTCATATTCCGATAGATTTTTCTAGAGTCCGGATTAGTGTTCTCTTAAAATTTTTAATGATCAGTGTTAAACATGGTCAGTACGGTAACATGCTGTGACCATAAACAACCCTGAAAAGCAATAGCTGCATTAGTTGATTCTTGGAAAACTTAAAAAATCGCTAGAACTTCGAGAGCTATAAATAGAAAAATTGAAAAATGATTTTACATTTCTGCCAACAGTTCAAATAGTCCCTAGAAACACGCAAAGAATGCTCATGAGTGGGTCACCCTGACACAGTTTAGCAAGGTAAAGGGCCGGATCAGTGTTCGCTCTCTGCTCTTGCAATGGGTAATATATAGTGTGATCATATTTGATGAATATACAAAATATTTCTTATGTGCGGAAGTTCTCAGTGATGGTTGACCAGCCTATACGCTCAGAAGAAGAAATTAATGGGTCAGATCGACCAAATAGTGACACACTTTCTGCATGTAGTTCTGATATATATGTCTTTTGGCCCGGTCACACTGGGTTAGAATTACCGACACAGAGGCGAAGACTGCATTGTAATTCAAGGAAAAGTCACACTCATGTCCCCGAGCGTAGACTACGTATAGCAGCGCTAGGACGGTAGACTGCGTATAGCAGCGCTAGGACGGTAGACTACGTATAGCAGCGCTAGGACGGTAGACTACCTATAGCAGCGCTAGGACGGTAGACTACCTATAGCAGCGCTAGGACGGTTGACTGCGTATAGCAGCTGGACGGTAGACTACGTATAGCAGCGCTAGGACGGTAGACTACGTATAGCAGCGCTAGGACGGTAGACTACGTATAGCAGCGCTAGGACGGTAGACCACGCTAGGACGGCTTCTTTAAACAGTTTGCACAGGGATCGCTGCGCAGGTTCAAGCGTGAAGGTTATGTATGATGCATACATTCCTGACCTTTCGAAGAACAGCATTCATTCATCAATGGAAATCACACATTCATCAATGAAAAGCATGCATTCATTAATAAAGAGAATACATTTATTAATGAACAGCATGCATTCATTGCATCCATTTTATGCCCCCAATTTATTCATTTATTTCTTTTTATTTTGCGCAGTATGTAAAGAAGTTTTGCCACCCGAAATTTCGTATATTTTCTTTGGCGCTAAAACCTGATCAAAACTAACGATCTGTTCATTTGCACAGAGTTGCAGCTTTTAAGGCGCTTATAAATACTATTGGCCTCAAGGCTCATTTTAACGATTCGCGGAATCAAACCTAAACTATTAAATACTGTCTGAAAAAGCAAAGTTCGATTTCATCGTATTTTACGTGTTCCAAATTGTACTGAATATAAATCTAATCAATGCAATCACTTAAGCAAGTAATTCCGATATACTTTTGATTCGATAAATAGCACACTCACATCTAGCATTGCAAATCAAACTTATTTTACACGTGTCTTAAAAATACATATTATTCACACCGAGCAGCATATTCACACCGAGCAGCATCACAAGCAAGTGTAGACGTGGAAAAAATCGCTGCACTTAATAAAAAGTCACTGCATTCAATAAAAAATCGCTGCACTCCATGAAAAAATCACTGCACTCAATAAAAAATCAATGCACACAATAAAAAATAACTGCACTCAATAAAAAATCACTGCACTCAATAAAAAGTCATTTCATACAACAAAAAAATCAGTTCACTCATAAAAAATCAGTGACTCAATAAAAAAAATACATAGTATTCAACAAAAAATCACTGCTTAATGAAAAAAATCACTGCACGCAATAAAAAATGACTGCACTCAATAAAAAATCACTGCACTCAATGAAAAAAATCACTGCCTTCAATAAAAAATCACTGCACTCAATGAAAAAATCGCTGCACTCATCCCAATTCTGATTAATTTGTCGCTGCTCACAGCGAACAAATCCCAATGAAGGCTATATAAAAAGATTTGTACAAGGCAGTGAAATGCAGCCCCTGAGAAGATGTAGCCTATTGCAGCGCGCCTGCCTCTGTTTCTCACATCGCATACCGTCAGGAGTCAGGAGCATAAACACATTCAGGAGTTCTTGAATGCCTCGCCAATGGTGTTGAGGGCAAGCGGTGCAGGGCACGGCTATGTTTACTGCAATGCTTCCCAAACTGAGGGTAGATTACCCTCGGAGTGTGGGAGAGGGGAGGGGAGGAATATCTCCTCAATGAAGGTGTGGATGAAGTGAGGTGAGGGTATGAGTGAAATGGATTGAGGGTTTGGTTGAAATGAAAATTAGGTGAAAATGTATTTAATTTTTCAATAGATTTAAATACGTGGTATGTTCAAACGGTATGTTCACAATGTTGTATGAAGGACTATATTGTGGCTCACTAAACTGAACGGGTAATGCGAGGGAGCCACATGATTTTCGGGCAAGGGAGGGGGAATGTCAAATGATGATTTTTAAAATAATACCTTTGCATGCGCCAATTGCAGCCAATTAAGGCTTTTAATATATTACGTTGGCATGTGCCAATTGCAGCAAATTAAGAGCTGAAATTTTGTAACAACTTTTGTGAGTTCAAGGAGGCTATAACCCGTTGTCGAATTTCCAGTGAACTGGTAAGATTTAACCTTCAAATTCGTAAATAAGTTAAACGCTCCAATTTAGAGCAATTTGTTATGTGCATTTAAACAAATTGACTTCAATAACTACCTCTACATTAATTAATTTATATACAATTAATAGATGGCACGAAAATAAATGACAATGGATGTTGTAACTCACAAAATGTTCACGCTGTAGCGGCTCTTATCAAATATAAGAAGTATTACATCGACTAAAGCAAAATATTCTTAGTTTGTAACTCAAATATTTGTTTAATATTTCTTTTTAGCTTTAGTTGCCTTTAACGTCGGTAAATTGAATCAACTGGCCAAATTTTGTAGTGGAAAATAAAGCTTACCAACGGAGATATAATTTACTATCCCATGCAGTTACCTGATTGGCGTGTAAGCTGTTAGGAAAAAATCTATACATAATAGTGCCCAATCAGCGTTTCTTTCTGGACATAAATACAATTTACTATACATAATAATGCCGAACAAACGTTTCTTTATAGACATAAATACAATTTACCATACATAATAATGCCAATAAGCGTTTCTTCATACACATAAATGCAATTTACCATACATAATAGTGCCAATAAGCGTTTCTTCATAGACATAAATACAATTTACTATACATAATAATGCCAATAAGCGTTTCTTTATAGACATAAATGCAAATTAATCCCTTACCTTTTCATCGCCAGCAGAATCCAGTATTTCGAGCGTGACTTGCGAGGACGCGAAGTCTGCGGTGTGTTGGTAGAGGTGCTCCTGATGAGCGGAGTACTCACCGATGAAGCGACGTGTCAGGTACCTCACAACCAGCGCTGTAAACAACAACCATGAGTCAGGTACCTCACAACCAGCGCTGTAAACAACAACCATGAGTCAGGTACCTCACAACCAGCGCTGTAAACAACAACCATGAGTCAGGTACCTCACAACCAGCGCTGTAAACAACAACCATCGACGTGTTGTTGTTAGTTACAATAACAGTTCAACTAATAATATATGAATGCGATGAATCTCGCTGAATTTCAATGCATTATATAGTTCGATGTTTCATAGAACATTTCATAGTTTCAATGTTACATTTCTTAATTTCAATGTAGTCACAGTTTCATGACAAATATAGGGCACTGTATGTAATGAAATATCAAATTTAATTGCGTATTTTAAAGTGAAATATGCCAGCTGCCTTCTAAGAAGTTGGAAAAGTTCAAATTTGGAAAACAGAATATGAATGCAGTGCTTGCAAAAGGGTTAAATTTTTTTTTCAATCCATCAATAAATAGAGAAATAATAAATAGCCAAGAGAAGAATAAAGTTTTGCGCGACGATAGGAATTTTTCTCGACAGGAGTTTGATGTTAGCCAGCATTCCAACCTTCACAGCTTGTAGAGTAAGCGAACACAACTGATCATAACATTCGCAAGCAAAAATAACATTCAACTGATACAAAAATATGGAATGTGACAATTCAATAGCAATGGTGATTTAGCAAAGATAAGAACTAGGAAATGATGAATTCTTAATCACATAGATTGCCTTAATCAGATGCGAAACAAGTGGATGATAAACTTTATTAGCCATAATGACACATAAAAATTACCTAAATAAGTGACGTTTATCTCAAAAGTATTCCTAAAGATGACACAAATCTTAATAGAAACTAATGAAATAATTTTTAATTTGTCACCTGATTTTCCGACGCCGCTCTGCCCCAGTACCAGCATCCTGACAGGACGCGCTCTGTACAGACCGCTGAGCTTCGTGAGCGCTGTTAACGATCCTCCTTTGGGAGACGACATAGAGCCAACGCTCAAATCGTAAAACTACAATAAACTTTGAAGATAATGACGTAAAATGCACACAAATATGTAATGTACGTGTGAAAAAATTCCTTCCAGAGTTTGACGAAGTCTTTGGCAGATGCGGAAGCGTCTGGTTCACAATGTTCGTCTCAACATTCGTATAAAAAATCATCCATGGAATAAATCACTCAATCCGAAAATTATTATTAAAAGGAATATTCCCATATGTTGTTTATAATAACTTCATCACCAAGAAGTGTATTTTGAATGAAGAACACGGGAAATAAGTTTAGTGTAAACCGTCGATCACTTTTGATCCTAAAGCAACATAACATTTTCAGTTTTCAATAGCACACGCATTCTGTTGATGGCATGGAAACACAGAATGAGCAAAACGATTGCCAAAGAAACTACACCAAATTAATTTACGGGGTTTTTATGTTCGGTAAATTTTCATATTGATCCACCGACAATTTTCAGTGGATTAGCTTGAAAACTTTTGGTACCTTTTATGGAAATCATATATCAATTTTATACGTACACGTACAACGCTTATGGAAAATTATGCATTTCAGTCATCAACGAATTCCATAATTTGATTTTGATATACTACATCAGCTGGAACTAAAATACTTTCTGTAATAAAAGATGGAGGTTCGTCACACAATTAGGGATCTCAGACTTTCAAATTAATTTTTACTCTAAATATAAAAACTCTACTACAACGTCAGCTCAAAATACTAAATATGAGACAATTTGAGCGCAAATTACAGCAAACATTGTGAAGTGAGTTGTACCATGGCAAGGCTGTCCCGTAAATATTTAAATGTAAGACAAATATTGCTATAGGTACAAGATCAGTATTCAACGCAAGCATTGTTGATGCAAGCCAGGATTCTCCTGAAGATTAGCACGAGAACGGATTATTTGTCAGGAAGAATCTGATTACATAACTGATAACGAGCTCTAACAATAAAACATATTCAGGGGATGTAAAAAGTCGTCTCATATGGAGCTATTATCCGCCTTAGTAATCGGCTTACAAAGAGTGGTAAGCCATCGCCATGTATATATAGATGAGCACATCCTGCTATAGGGTATCATGTTATAGGTTCAACCTATGCATTTGATTTTATTTATTTTCATTGTCATTGTACATAAAAGCGATATTTCTCTTTAGGTTGAACCTTGAGAAGGATGCTTTTTATTCGCTGCCAGGAACATTCGAGTTACTAGCGATGCACAAAGTCAAATAGATAAACTAATATTTCGATTTATATCATCTACATGATAAAAAATATCAGTAAGAATACTTCGTTTTTATGGTTTCTTATATCTATTGTAATTTTGAAATAGTATCGACATAGTAGACTGATTTTAACTTGAAGTTAACTTTGGATATTTATACAACCGCCAACATTTCTCAATTATTTTATTAGTAATCTGTAAATAAAAATATCCAAGGTTATTCTAAATAATGGACCCAATTTAACATGTATAAATATAAAATAATTTTGTTAAAATGATATTAAATAAGTGTAAATTCGAAATTAATAATTTATACACCAATGGAAATAAGAAGCCTCTAAAATATCGCTGCATATAAATTATAGCCTCACTCTGAACTATAATAACAGGTGTTTATATTATAATACTACAGTCATATCATAGAATAACACTGAACTATAATAACATGAGCCTCTATAATATTGATACTGAATAGCACTGAAGTATTTTGAAGCTTCGCAACGCAACGAATCCCGAAAAGTGTTCGCCGCAGCACAAAGCACTTGATGTAAACAAGTTATTTTGCAGTTTCGTTATTCGGATATATTATTAAGAAGTTAGCAAACATATATACCCTTATTTAGTTGTATTTTTACGATCATTGTGTCTTGAATCCCTGACGAAACTTGCCTGTTAACTCAAATTATTATGTTAACTCAAATTATAACACGAGTTATTGATGTAATTTTTTTATATTGATGGTGAGACGATATGCTTGGTAATGCACTAATAATAGAACCTTAGGAGATTTTGATAATAATACATAATTGTGAAAGTTATATTTAAATGTTAATAAACTGTGCTAAGACTTAATATTCGTTATAGCATGGATGACAGTAGATAATAACAATATTTTCATATTGTTTACTGGAAAAAACTAAAGCAATACGGTTTAAATATAGCTGTTAAAATTATTAGTTAATCATATTATCATATACGTGCTAGGTAACTGTAAATGCAGAACTCTGACAGGGCAAAAGATGAATATTGATGATGAATAGGCTCCAGAATAAAAATAATAACACAATAGATTTGATGAATTAGAGAAAGATAACACGTGCAAGAGGAGTCAGGATCAGTGCTTTACGTTTGGGTATTTTGATGTCCTCGCCTGCAGTTTGGGTGATAATATTACGGACGGGTATATCAGTGATGGCAGCGACGGTAAGGGCAGTGAGGGCAGCGAGGGTAAGGGCAGCGAGGGTAAGGGCAGTGAGGGCAGCGAGGGTAAGGGCAGTGAGGGCAGCGAGGGTAAGGGCAGTGAGGGCAGCGAGGATAAGGGCAGTGAGGGCAGCGAGGGTAAGGGCAGTGAGGGCAGCGAGGATAAGGGCAGTGAGGGTAGCGAGGAGAGAAGAGGGTGTGGGCAGCAGTTCCCGGTACGAGGCTCGTGAGCGTCGCATTTCTAGGAAACTCCGCCACAGGCCGCGGCGGCGGACTTTGTCTTCCGGGACCCACGCCCAACAACGATCGCACGTACAATTAAGGCACGCACTGGTCATCATTTCTAAATTGTGATTGTCATAAAGTTGATGATTGTTTCTATCTGAACGTCTACTTCTTCGCCATGAACAGCTTGTCTCTTTGCATTTAATGTCCATTATTCAAAATTGACGCGGCAGTAGGCCAAAAGAAAGCGCCATCAGGCCGCGTTTCACAGCCACGCATCGCTCGAAATTGAGATCGAGGATTGAGCAGAGCAAACAGAGTCTTGTAGCTTCGACCTTCGTCGCTAATACGGACTAAAGTAAACGAGTCGTAGACCGACGTACGTGAACTATACGAAATAATGGAAAAAACGGCGTTCTTGCTGTTACATAATACGAGATATCATGGTAATTTGTTACTCAGATTTACGGCGACAACGCGATCGTACATAATTGTTATTGTTTAGATCTCATGCATATGCAAATTACCGGCATGTTGATAAGACAAGAATATTTTTCCGGACTTTTGAATGCTTTCTAATTCATTGAATAATTTATTTATTATTGTTGCAGCCAATTTAAAAGACTTTCAACTCCGCCATTGTGCATTGTAACATAGCTTATACGTTCAATAATGCACCTTATTTATCACCTCTTTAATATATATTCGATTGTTAATTGTTATAGTTTAATTTATATGGTGTTGTACTAATACTTATTTTTACTTCTCATTTACGAAGTAATGAGCATATTTTTTAATAATAAGCCCTCCTTGAAGTTTTTCAAGTACTTATATTTAAAATTTTACAGAGTTTGATTATTATTTTGTATAATTAGGAGGGCACAGTACTCTAAAAATGGCAACGCCTATTTGCATTGACCTGAAATCAGAAATTTGAAAATTATACAGCATGCAATATTATATTTAAGCTTTCGCTTGGACTTGTGTTATTCAAACAAATTAGGGGTAACATGGGGCAGCTGGCCCCCCCTTTTTTTAACTAAAATTTTGATGAAATTTTAATTGATACGAGGTGGTTCTTTGCTTTGTTTAAAGGTACAACAAATGAGGAATGTATGATGTAAATTAGATTCCTATAGAGTTATTCAATTTTTAATGAAACACTATTTGTAAACAGTGTTAAAATGGGCCCATTGGCTCACCCCTGGGGCAATGGGCCCATGGGCTCGGGGCAAGGCGCCCACCCTTGGTCCCTTACCACGATTGCATATTTTTCGTTCGAAAATGATAAAACAACGCTTTACAGTTAAAAATAAGAAACATGTAATAAAAAATATGGCATTCATTCATTAACAACTCAAAAAATCATATCCTAAACTTGAAAAAATATACTAATGGCTTAAAAAGTCAATCACTGACGTGAAGAAAAATATTTCATTGACATAAAAATATATATCCTTGACTTAAAAAATATATCCTTGCGATAAAAAATTCGTCCTAGACATGAAAAATGTATCCTTGACTAGAAAAAATACATTTAGTTGATTAGAAAAAAGCTTGGTTCCAGTTTCGTCCATAAAGCAGATATTATGTGCAGAGAATTCGTACTTAATCGTGATTTCAGCCAACACCATAAAAACTCATCAACTTTTGGCTCATTGGTGTTGGCTGAAATCAACTTTTGGCAAGGCAAGAGTCAATAACTCGATAAGGGGTAATAAATACGCAAAACTATAAACCAAACCTGCTGCCTTGAGGCGGCAAATCAAAAAATCATGCAATATGAAGTGTAATTTGTAATTCAAAAAGCTAGTCATACTTTTGGAAAGGTCATTGAGACAAATCTAATGTTGTGCGTATAACACAAGACTTTACCATGGGCGCTTTGCCTCGTGACACGCGTGGGCCCGTTGCCCCATTAGGTATAATTTCAATTTATATCGTGTCAACATTTTACTTCAAAAACTAATAGTTTAAACTTGAACTCAAAATTATCCCTATAAATATTATCCTCAAAATATAATTCACAGTAATTTCAAAAGCTTCAGCGACAGTAATCGAAAATAGTTTTATTTAGCAGCAAAAAAAAACTCTTATCTGGGCTAAAACAGTTATTCGCAAATAACTTAATAACGCAAACTCTTAGCAAAACGTAAATCCGTACACTTCATCCCATTGAAACTGCCGACGGGCGGTAGAGAACACGGACCAATATCTGTCATACTCAGCGAGAAACCTGCTATGGGCCTTTGGCCCGCAGTGGTCCCTTTGTCCCATGTATATACCCTACAGAACAACCTTAGATCTTCATCGGCGAGGCATTTAAATTCGCCGCCATGTCGATTTTATCGAGTTTCAAATGCATTTAATATTGACAGGTAATGTAAAACGTTTAATAACTATATATTTTGCTTGGACCACATCCAAAACAAAATCGAAAACTATGATCGCATTATACGCTCTCATTTTGCATATTTCGTTTCGATTGAACTTCGATTGTCGTGATTTTGTACGTAAACTTGTCAGCTAAGCATTCAAATTATGCATTTAAAATTAATCATGTTTTTCTAAACTGAAGTTAAAATTGCACAAAGCTTTAATACAGGAAGCTTCATGATAACATTAATTTCAAACTCGCTCAAAAACTTATTTATACACCTTCTCGAGGCACCCCATTCTTCGATATTTCAATGGCTTTTATGCGCAACTACACAATAAAAAGATAATGATTCTGTCGATAATCACGGTTTAGATCTACAGAGGGCAAACTCTGCAACAGCAAAATACGCAACACTGCGTACGTTTTCCCGTAGGAATTCTC